CCCCGCTTATGCAAATGAAGCCCGGGAAATTCAAATCCCGGGCTTCATTTGCAAGTGCGGTATGCCTACATTACCCTCCTAGTTCGAACTAGGAGGGTAGTGTAGACATACCCAAAGTTAGTTCCCAAATCTGTCCTCTGTGGTGTCAATTATTTAATGGAGAAGTATGAGGAAATCCTTACACAGGATGTTCACAGACAGATATAATGTGTTTCTACCAGGCTCACTCTCTCACTAAAAGGAGGAGCAAAATACAGGACTATGTAGCACTTTAAAGACTAACAAGATGGTTTATTAGATGATGAGCTTTCGTGGGCCAGACCCACTTCCTCTACAGTCCTGTATTTTGTTTCAGCTACACCAGACTAACACGGCTATATTTCTATCACTAAAAGGAGGAGCTTTGTCTACACATAAAAGTCTAACGTTCAGCCTGGCAGTACTTTAAACTGAAAATGTGGCCATAGCACGAGTGCTGAGAGATAGCTCTCCCAGTGCTCTGTGTAAACCTCCTCCATGAGAAAAGTAGCTAATAGCACTGGGAGCATGATTCCCAGCGCTTTAGCCTGGTTCACATTGGCGCTTTACAATGCAGTAACTTCCTGAGCTGGGGGAGGGGAACAGCTGATTCACAGCCCTGAGCCAGAAAGTGACAGCACTGTAAAGTGCCAGAGTAGACTTAGCTAGGAATTCCTAACTGGATGCTACTCAAAGGAGTTTTGAGAATGTCTATAAATTGCTAATTAAAAAGTCTGGTTATGGGTACGTCTAGACTACATGACTCCGTCGACGGAGCCATGTGAAGTAGTTTACTCGGCATAGTCACAGAAGTGGGGATTATTTAAGTCTCCGCTTCTTTGACTATGCTGAGTAAACTACTTTACATGGCTCCTTCGACAGAGCCATGTAGTCTAGACATACCCTATGGAAAAAGCCTAGAGTATTTGATGTGCCAGATTCAGCCTAGGGAAGGAGACCAATACAGCCACTTAAAATGTCTTACATCATCAGTAGCTCTTCAGAGCTGGAGTGCAAGAATGATGTAGACCCACTGCAGAACAGCCAATAGGGTGATGATTAGGGTACTCATCGGGATATGGGAGTCCCAGGTTCAGGGTGAGCACTTGACCATGGGTCTTTTATTTCTCAAGTGAGTGCCTTAACCGTCAGCCTGTTGGTTAGTCTAGTTTAAGGAGGTGCGCTTTTGCTCATGGTTTTTGGTGAACATTTTGAAAGGTTTCATTTTCATTCCAAATGGGAATAAAAGCATATTTCAAAGCCTCAACATTTTTTGAGAAACCTCATTGTGGATTCCCACCCAGCCATACTGCATATTGAAAGAGGACTCTCAATGTCAATCTAAATATTTTATTTCAGTAATTTTGAAAGGTCTCATTTTGATTTCAGCCTTTGTGTTTTTACTATAAATTAACATCTTTTTTTAAAAAAAAGATTGTTTCATCAAATATAGAACTTCTAGTTTAGAGAATGTATGAAAGCAGGACAATGATCATTTCAAAACTTTTTTTTCAAAAATAGGAAATTCACCAAAATGAACCCTTTCCTACAAAAGCCTTTATTTTACCAAACTGGAATTTTCCAAGAAAAAAACAAAAACCAAAGAACAGATTTAGCTGAAAAAATCACAACCTTGTCTAGTTGTAAGCCATGAGTATTTGCCCACTCCATTAATCCCATGAAGAAAGTTAAGTGAAGAGAGTTTCAGATGGCATTAAGGAACTGAATACTGAATATCAATAACCTAAGATGAACTAAACCAAGGGGAGCTAATAAGGAATTAATTTCAAGTAGATTAATATCCCACAGGCAAATTTTCCAATTTGGGGCTATGGATGAAGAGTTAGGCTGCCAACATCAGCTTTCTAAATTCAGCTAGCATCAACAGCAACAAACTGCCTACTGAAAAGCAAACTTCCACACCTTGTCTGTGCTTATGATAGCAGCTGTAGCAGATCAGAACTACATCTGTGGAGGCTTAATAAACACAATGGTAAAAAACACTTGTCTTCTGTCTGTGCTACAACTTCCAACATTTCTTGCACTAGTGGAAAATTATGCATCCATTTTTTGCCAACCTATTGGAGTTGTAGTGTCAACTTCTCGGAAAAATGTGGTGACAGATTCCAGAAGATTCTAGAGAGGAAGTGTCCAAGGAACTAAAGGAAAAAGATGCCACAAAGAAAAAAAAACAAATCAGAGTCAAGACTTCTATGGCAGAGATGCAAGTCATGATTGTGTGAGAATGAGGTAAATGATTTATAATGAATCACCTGTGACAAAGACTGAGAATGCTTCAATGAAGCTGACAGGCACAGAGATGCAGACACTCACCTGGAATGGGAGTTCACTGAGGTATGGGCTAAGATGAAGGAGCCACAAGATGCCTTGCTTCTATGAAGAATCCTCCAGTTGTAACAATATGAGAAATCACCAGAGGACACCACTGCAGATGTTTCTTGATGTTTCTGTTCATTTGAATGAATAGGAGTTGGACCCTGGAGAAATACTTATTAAGAGCCACCCTCTTAAAATAAGGGATAAGGGATCTTTCAGAAAAGGCTTTATTTTCCGAAAGATCTGCGTCTAGACTGGTGCTTTTTTCCGGCAAAGCTCCGAGCCGGAAAAAAGTGGCAGCCATTTTTATGCTAATGAAGCAGGGGGGATTTAAATCCCCACTTCATTTGCAATTGCGATATGTCTAATTTGCATCCCTTTTACGGAAAAGGGATGCAGTCTAGACACAGCCTGTGTGTATATGTGTGGTGGATACTTTTGTAGCTAGGGACAATAAATGAATTCTGCATTCACAATAAACACGACATATTGCCTTATCCCCCAAACAAGATGCTGCTCATTCTATTTCTCTAAATAACAATTGCACAGGAGTAACTGGGAATAGAACCTAACCCTTCACTTTTCCACTAGTGTATAAAATTGCTATTGGATTAACAGTAATTATAAGGTTCATCTGAGGACACCAATAAGTTTTATTTAGCAATAGTTTAGTGTTTCTGTACTGCAAATACACAATCAAGTTTGAAAGGAGCTACAGACACAACTACTTGAAAGAAGCTACTTGAAAGTAGGAATAAGAGATCCTCCGGAAAAGAGCTTATTTTCCGGAGGATCGCGTCCAGACTGGCGCTTTTCTCTGGCTTATCTACAAGCCGGAAAAATGTGGCAGCCATGTTAATGCAAATGCCGCGGGGGATATTTAAATCCCCCGCGGATTTGCCTATTCCAAAGTGCTACATTTGCATCCCTATTACGGAATAGGGGCCAATGTAGACATAGCCATACTGTATGATGTAATGTGAAGTGCCATTCAAATCAATAGGCTTATTTGTAGAGAAAGGTAATATCATGCATATAATGGTATTAGAATCTGGCCATAATATAATTGGGGCCAAGAGGGATCATCACATGATCAGAGCTGTGAAAAAGGGCAGAAGTAGTTGTAAGCCTCCTTTGTGCCTTCTGTATTCTAGCCCCAGTCAGTGTAGATTGCATGACTGCCTGCCCTCCCTCCTGCCATCACAACCAGTGTATATTAGAGTTGCCTTACTGTGGTCCAGCTATGCCCTCTGTCTTCACACACATTTATGCCAGACACTGGTAAGGTATCATAGCACCACTGCAACAGTTGCACCCAGAACTCCTCATACAAGAGCTTTTCCGTAATGTCTGCCTCCCTCCTTTATTGGCATCAATGATATAACAGGGTTAGTGCCTACTGCAGAACTTGGCCCCAGGTTTATACATTTGATCTGGAATGGGAGATGCAGTAAAGAGTGTGTTACAGGGCATGGCATGCTGGGGTGTCAGAGCATATGGCTGAGTTTTTAATTTAAAGCATTAATAAATGAGTAATTGGGTTTCTGCTCCTTTTAGAGTTATTTTTGCCTTTACATTTCAACCTTGAAGAAAAGATAATTTTCTAGTGAATATCCCTGTCATGTAGTATTCCTTAAACTGTTCATTGGGTGATCATTCAGTATTTCTCTTACGTTACTAGGGCCATAGCACTATCAACAACACACCCTCTGGGAGAAGTCTGAATCCCGTTGTGACAATCCGTATCCTTATGGTCACCCCATTTTTACAAGGTATGTTAATTTTTGTACAAAGCATACTGTATAAGGTATCATTTGAAAACCCATTATTTGTGGATCATTATTGTTCCAGTAAACTACATGTGGCAACACTATATATATATTTTCACACTGTATAATATAATCAAGACATGTTCCAACATGTTCTGAAGGGCAATCAGAAAGAAGTTCCCCGGAGCTAAAGGCTACCCAGGGCCCCAACCAAGTATCAAAAGGACCCTCTCCCCCCAGATTAAGTGGCCACTCTTTGGCAGGAGAGAAGGTTCAGCAAAAGGTCCTCTACATTTTGACAAAAATGCAGCTTAAGGTTCCTGGCCATGCAGACTTTCTGTCTCCTGAATGGCAGCTGGAGATAACAAGAGGAAGGGCTATAAGAGCAGAGGACAAACATCCCCTATCATCTCTCTTGCTCTCTGAAGAAGAAAGGAAGCAGCACTGGACTGCAATTTAGGTGGAAGATGCCGTTTGATAAATGTTAGGACAGGAAGACTGTTGGCACATACCGTGAGAGAAACCTTTGTGTTGTAGTCACTTAGCTTGTTAAGATAGCTATTAGTTGCATTTTACATTTTATTTCTTTTCAGTCAATTCTGATTTATACGTCTCATTACTTGTAATCATGTAAAATCTGTTTGTAGTTGATAAATGTGCTTAGTTGTTTCATCTAAACCAGTGTGTGGTGAGGCTTGACGTGTTTGGGACACTAACTGGGATAACAAGAGTTGTGCATATTATTTTCCCTTAATAAATGAAGAGCTGTACAGGAGCTTCTGTTGATCAGGAGTATGCTGGGCAATACAAGATGCATATTTCTGGGGGGAAAGTCTAGGATTGGACATTTGCTGATGTTGCCCTGCAGCGTAATTCATGAGTAGCTGGCTATAATATTCATACACTGTAGCTGGGAGTGATTTCCATGTTGAAGCCTGTGTGGAGCCGACCAGGAGTGGTAGCTTTCACAGCAAAGCAGTGTAAAAGACACCCTACGTTGGGCAATTGAGGATATATAGCTGTGCATCAATCCAGATAGCACCCAGAAAAGATGTCACACCCATGTCATTTGACCAAGAACCCTGTCATATGGAAGGGTCCTCTCACTCTGCAGTCCTCATGCACACCTCATGCAAGTTCAACACCAAAAGCTTTATAAAAGTTTGCTATGTGCCTAACCTGCTTAGGCACTTTTGAGTATCCCAATAAGCACCTAAATTGCTCTGTCAAGGTGATTTAGACTCTAAATCCCATTTTCCAATTTTACCTTGGGCTCTCTCTTTTAAAATATCTTATTCAAAGGTCTTTATTCTAGGATTGAAAAGAAAACAAACAAGACAACACACATCTGCCAGACATTCTTCAGGAATTCTGCATAATTTCCAGGCTGTCGCTCAATCTGCATTCACTGAAATCCATGCAACACTGCCAATAGGATTACACAGAAGTAAACAAGGCCATAACTTGCTTCATTATTATTTATATTCTGTCAGCACTCCTAATATTATAGGCATTTCCTAAACACGTTGCATGATACACCCCCTGACCAGAGAGCTTGAAGTCTAAAATGGGAAAACTAGAAAGGGGTACAACAGACAAATATTATTGTTGTAATCAGAAAGTGTCAAACTCCATAAAATGTTACTGTCAAGCTTCAGCTAAGAATGTCATCAGTTTTGCCATTGTCTTGCATTACGAGCATAAAATAACTCAGTTTGGCTCATATCTAGTGACACACAAATAGTAGTCGTTCCACAGAACAAATTTCATTTCAGAGAGTCCACTAGCAGCAGAAACTCCTATGAACCACAGCTATGTATGTTTTCACAAATAAAGAGCACTGTTAAATTGAGGCTTTATTATATATAAAGGATACAAAATATTTTCGCTAAATCTACATTTTAATGATAAATAATATGCTGCGATTAGGTCCAGTGACTACTGAAATTTCATCTAGAGAATGACTGAATTTCCCTCACAGACGTCAGTAAATATTTTTAAATAGTGACTAGCATATCATATGCTAGTGGCTAGCACATCAAAATTAGAAAGTAATATAAATGTAAATACACAGTATAAAAATAGGGCTGTGTACACACACACATACACAGAGCTCTACGTCAATGTTGATAGATACACACTAAAGAGATCTGCCAAAGTTTTAATCATTTCTAGTATACAAACTGACTGTAGACAATTGTGGTGCTCCTTTTGGCCCGAGTGCCAAAATGTGGAATACTGGAGGGTGTTTCTCTCTGGGGTCGAGTATTTCTTGGATGCAATTGTCTTTATTTACAAATGAAATACTAAGTCCTGTTTCTCTGAACACAGCAAGAATCAAAACAGTAGGAGACAGTTTTCTTGCAAGACTGTTTCCAATCAGCACTCTAGCCAAAAGTTCTCAATTTTTTTTCCTCGTGGTCACACTACAAGCCCTTCTCAGCTATCTCTGGCTTACAGCTGCTTTCTCGGTATCTCTCTCTCTCATGCACGCATAGAGATACATAGCTGCAATCCAATCAACCCCCTGCTTTTATCAGACCCCTAGGAATCTCTTTGGACTATATGGCTCAAATTCTACTCCAGCCTTCTATGTGTCCTACAGTTTCATCTATCTGTTCTATAAAGAAGCGTGCTTGCATTTTATGCAATGAATGAAGGGTTGATGTTACACACTCTAGCTTCAATGAGGTTTTGCCTAATCCACCATTGTAGCGGTTGTATACATTGATACGAAAATTATATTCTCTCAAAACTAGTATTAAAGAGGGGAGAATGTTCTGAAGATAAAATAGTCAAGGTGAAATTCAAACACTTCTTAAAAACAGGAAAAAGCCAGTAAGCACATGTCTGGGCAATAGCACTACACAATGGTGTGCAAAGAAAAATAAAATGAATTGCATTTATTGCCAGCAGTATGCCAAGCCAAACTTTGGCACCAGAGTGAGAATCTGCCCCCAACTCATAGAATAATACTTATTGTGCATTATCAGCTTCCATTGTTCTGACAGCATTTTCATCATTAAATCACATATCCTCCTCTGATGTCTTTCCGAAAGGAAACTTATCGCTTTCTGTTAGTGCTTGATCTCAGACAGGGCAAGACTTAAAAATACAAATCTTAATAGAGGAATCAAATATGAGCATAGAGGAACTGAGTCTTGTTCAAAGAAAATGTACTTATTTGAAAACTTCCCTACTGTAGATCCTTGTTAAAGTACAGAGGCACTTCGTCTAACTTTCCTGAAACAGCCACAAGATAATTATGGTGCTGACTGCAGCTACCCTACTCCTGCAAATGTTGTGTTATTTTCTATTTATTAAAACTGGATATTACTACAGATATTTTAGCCTCATAATAAATAAATAAGTATTGGTCCTTAACCTCAGTGCTATGGCCAGTTTATAGTCCCAAAGAATAATCATGTAAATTAGGACTTCAAGAGACTACATGGATCCTTTAAGTTAGGTTCCTATTTGTAATCACAATGTCAGCTTAGCAGGTAATGGATTGAACAGGGTTAAAGCAAGAAAACTCTTCAGCAATTGGCCAGGTGGATTTCTGACAGTACAAGGCAGAGTGCCTCCCCTGAAGACTCTAGAACCTCCCCCAACAGGGAAATTGCTAGGAGTTGAGGATGTTCTGTAATTTGCAGGACCAGGTTCTTAGTGGTCATATTTTGTACATGTAGTGATCATAGCACTTTTTATACATGACTTTTCCTTCAGAAAAAGGAGCTAGAAGATGATAGAATGGCAGTGCCTGAAACCTAGGCACAATAGGCACTTCACAGCATGAGCTTCACCTGTTTCCACATCCATTTCAGTACAAGCATGCATGAAAATATTACGAGTCTCAGCAAGTCTGGGAAGCACTTCAAATATTTCAAAGGCAAATTGAAACTCAATTCCTGGTGTTCCAAGGTCAGTGAGTCTGCTGTCTACCATTGCAGTGAAAACATATGATTTGATTAGATTGAGTCAGAACAGCTTCCTTCATAACATGATGCACAGATGATTGACAAGGTGTAAAACATTCTGCATAAAATTCTACAGATAGAACACAATACGCTGAGCCAAAAAGCTAGTGAGTTTGACATTATTATTTTTGTACTTCTTTAAATGTCACTTTACTGCTGTCGTTCCATCTCATGGCCACACTAGTAATATTTAACCATTGGAGTGCATCTCAATTAAGAACAGAAAAACAATCACCGTGGGTCAGATCAGTGGTCCCTCAGTCTAGACCATTGCTTTGTCTTCTGACCATGACCAGTGATGGATAGTTCAGAGGGAATGAGCAGAACAGGCAATCATCACATGATCCATCCCCTGTTGTCCACTCTCTGCTTCTGGCGCATTCTCATACATTAGCTACAAGAGTTTGCTTTTCGCCCCTGGTAAATGAAGTAGCACTGGAAAAAGAAAGATTTCAAGATGACTGTTTAAAATTAAAAGATTACAAATATATTCAAAGTCAAATATGCTCTATAGTAACTTGATTTGTGGAAAATGCAGAACAGAGACCCAGAAAGAGAGAAGTTTTAAATGAATCCTAATTATGTACATGTGTAAATAGGTAGATTTTTAAAAATTATTACTTGTAAAACTTCCATCTAAACAGTATTTATGCCAGTTTACATAGTAGCACAAATATCAACCCAAAAGGACTCAGTGCATAAAGCAACCAGTGCACAAGATGTTCAACAAAAATAAGTTCCAAAGAGTAGCAGCATGAGGGGGGAAATGGAGACAAAATGGACAAATATTTCCTGGCCAAAATAGAAAGATCTTGTACCAGGCACTGAAGGAAACCACTGTGAAGATCAAGTGAAGCCTCAAAGCAGAGAACACAGACATCCCAGCTGATTTCTACTGCCCTTGTAGAAGATGAGGGAGAGATGATTGCTCAGTCACCTTGTGCCTAGAAAATGAAAGATCTACAACAAACTGCAAAACCTTGGATTGAATCAGTTGGCTTATCAGCAACCCTTGGAGATCATGGGTGAGATCCTGGCTCCACTGAAATTAATGCAAGTTTTGACATTGATTCCAATGGGGGCAGGATTTCAGCCTGTAAGTAGAGTGCAATAAGGACCCAATAAAATAAAGCTTTCCCACAAGACTAAATCCAATCCTGTTAAGCCAAGCCATTAATCACTGGTTTAACTTTAAGACCATTAGTAGTTCCATTGAAATAAATAATGCTTATGCATGTTAAGTGCTTGGTTAAACTGGGACTCAGGCCCTGGAGTAATTGATTCAAGTCCAAGGTCCTAATTGTATATTCATAAAAAACAACAAATAGTCTGGTAGCATTTCAAAGACTAACAAAATATGTAGATGGCATCATGAGCTTTTGTGGGCACAGGCCACATCATCTACATATTATGTTAGTCTTTAAAGTGCTACCAGACTATTTGTTGTTTTTTAAGTTTTTCCTGTTACAGTCTAACTCGACTACCCCTCTGAAGCTTTTGTATATTCATAGCCAGGTACTTCCAGATTTGTGACTCTTCGGTACAATACCTAGATCTGAGAACAGAATTTGCCCCTTTCATAAGTAATTACACTTATTTTAGTGCTTCTACTCAGAAATTTTGGCGTGCTCATTTAAGGCACTATTTTATGAAAATGCCAAGGTGCTTATCTCTTTGAGATATGCAGGTTTCAGTATTGAATGTGCAAAATGGGGGTGTCTTTATAACAATTATTTCTGTAATTCTTTGTAGCCTAACTAATGTAAACATAATACTTTAGGAAAAACCAATATCAAGGATTTACCAGGAAAGGAATCCCTTCTGCAAAGATCAACATTTCTTCCTGGTCTGCTTTATTATACAGATTCATAGAGACCTCTGTCTTCCCTTCTGTGATTGCTCCCTCTTGCTCAGATTCAGTTTGAAATAGACATTCTCTGAAAGGGCAGGCATTAGAAGCAGTAGTTCATTCAGTATAGAAGAAAGCATTAGGCATGTACGGCCAGACGGGATTTTTCTGCCAATCATGGAACAGGAGAAATCTCTCTTGCTCATTTCTGTGATGAACATATTCTTGCTTGTAGGCTTTCCACCCCCCTCTATGTTCATTTCATGTTTCTAATTAGGGGAAGAGCCTTTGCAAGTGGTTTTATGGAATGTTGATTTTCTATGTATGGGCATCTACCCTTCTGATTTATAATAATAGTAATTGAGCAAAACTGGACCCTAAGTAGTAATATTACCAAGCCTTCCTTTTCCTCTCAGAATCCCTCCTTCTCCTGTCTGCACTCATTTCACATACAGATGGTTTCCTTTTCTGTTCACCAAACTACATTCCCTCTTGTTTCCTCACATGGTATTTTCCCAGCAGGGAAAGTCTGCACTAAGATAGCTAATGGTCCTGTTGATTTCAAATGGACTTTCAAGTGCTTGAGTGCTTCTCTGGGATTAAAGTTTACAGCACTTTTGCAGGGAGAAACTGGTGCAAGAAGACATCCTCAGTGTTCTCCAAACTGTGTGCTATATACAGTGCTTAGTTTGTAATGAGAGGAACCAGGGTTCAAGCAGTGTTCTTTACATTCATAACTTGTGCAGCAAGTCCCTTGGTACCAGGGCTCTGAACTGTCAAGCCTAGAGGTAGCCAGGATCCACCTTGGCAAACCCAAGCTCAGATTAAGTACCGGTTATATAATTTGAGATGAACCATTCACAAGCACTCACTTTTGTCTGAGAGCATTTTAGTTCAATACTTGTCTGACCTGAGTGTGTCTGGAAAATTGGAACCAAAGCACAATTACTAATAGTGTATTGCACTGAATGTCCCTTAAACAGTACAGATTTCTTTTCTTCATCATCTTCCTTGGGCTCTTCACTTGGCACGCCCATTTCAAATTCAGAGGCTAAACAACATTCTTGTTTTGAGTGTTGGGTTTTTGTTTTTCTCTGATCTTGCTGCTGAGATTATTTTTCCTGTCACTTGGAGACTTTAAACTTGGAATACTGCATGCCAGAAGGAGAAAGTGAAACTAACAGCATGTGTCATTACCATGAGTTCTCTATTCCCCAGATACCAC